TGGACACAGTGTAGACAAGGAAAGACCAATAATTATACGTCCACCTGGCCCCAGTGTAGACGAGGAAAATCCAATAGTTATATGCCCATCTAGATCCCAGTGTGGACGACATAAAACCAATAGTTATACATTCATCTAGACCCCAGTGTAGACGATATAAACCCAATAGTTATATGTCCACCTGGGCCCAGTGTAGACGAGAAAAGACCAATAGTTACACGTCCACCTGGACACAGTGTAGACAAGGAAAGACCAATAGTTATACGTCCACCTGGGCCCAGTGTAGACGATATAAACCCAATAGTTATATGTCCACCTGGGTTCAGTGTAGATGAGGAAAGACCAATAGTTATATGTCCATCTAGACCCCAGTGTAGACGATATAAACCCAATAGTTATACGTCCACCTGGGCCCAGTGTAGACGATGGGAAGGTCTGGGCTCCATGTCCACCTGGATTTAACGAGGATCCATGTCCACCTGTTGGGGATCCCGACGAATAAAGGATTGGCTCACAGGGGCCCTCGTCCATCCCTCTGCCTGCGTCACCTCCAGGGTCGCTGAGCTCACAAGGTCACTGGCCCACCCATAGCTGGTTTTCTCCCTCAAATGGCAGAACAGACAACACTTTAGAAAAATAAAAAAATGTTGCCATGGAGAAAAGTCAACCTATTCTCTTTTGTTTGTTTGTTTGTGGCTTTTTTTTTGTTCGTTTGTTTCTCCAGAACAGTATGCAGCCCAGTGACCATCAACTGGTGAGTGAAGATTCTGAGCCCAAATTCCGCCCCTTCGTGGAGCTTCATCTCATCCCCATCTTGTCAGAAATGTAGGGGCGCTTCCCATCGTCCCTCCTGGGGGCCTGGGCGGGGTGTCCACTGGGCTCATGTTGAGATGAGTTATTACAACCCTGTGATCTTTTTAAAAATCTATGTTGACTAGAGGCCCGGTGCATGAATTTGTGCACCAGTGGGGTCCCTCAGCCTGGCCTGCGGGATCGGGCTGAAACCGGCTCTCCGACATCCCCTGAGGGGTCCTGGATTGCGAGAGGGCATAGGCCAGGCCGAGGGACCCCACCAATGAACGGTCTGGGCCAAAGGGGGGCTCCAGGGTGTGTCCGGCCCGTCTCACTCAGTCCCGATAAGCCAGACCCCAGCAGCAAACTAACTTACCGATCGGGGTGTCTGCCCCCTGGTGGTCAGTGCACGTCATAGC